ATTCCATAATGCTGCAAAGACAGTAGTCCCATCCATATTGATGGCAACTACAACTCATTGACTGATATGGATACAAATTTGATGGTACACAAAACCTTCTATAAACAGCATAAAAAGACAGTCACATTGTCTCATCAAAAAAGCATTCCAGATATATACAATTAGACCATAGTTAAAATAATTCGACATATTTACAATTACATTACAGTTAAATAGATTACGCGGATGGCCATCAAATATAGAGCAATGGTTTTCTCCACACACAATCTCTGGAAACCCAATGCAGCACAAGATATCAATACTATTGAACATTTTGGAGCCACAAGTTAGGAGCCACTAGCCTCCACCGTCGTGTCGTAAAAAGCTGGAGAAGGTTTTAATGGAAGAATGACTGAAAATTCCTCTAGATGAAGTCAGGAAACTGTATGGTTCCATTCCTAGACGTATTAAAGCTGTCTGTGCGGCTAAAGGAGGACCAAGTCCATATTAAATCAATTTTCTTTGAATTGAATGTGTTCCAATTATTTTGTCCAACCCTGTATATATATATTTAGGCTCTTATTTTGAAACATGATACCTCTTATGTAGCGTGTTGGAATCATATTTTTAAATAAATAGTTATATTTATGCTCTACTTTTGTATCGAGCACTATTTTTAAAAAATAATAACAAAAATACTAAAGAACTTTACCTAACCAGTTCTTTCCTATTTTCTATATATTTTCACACACACACACACACACACACACACACACACACACACACACACACACATATATATATATATATTTGACCAGAATAGAATAATTAAATAGTTATTTAAAAAAGGATATATATGAACAAATACAATACAATGCTAAGTATTATGACTATAAAAATTTTATAAAAATTACGCATTACCCAATATGAAAATGTTTCCAAACAAGTGGAATTCTCTTACATACAAATTTAACAACACCAATTAGTCAAACAGAGATGTCTGCCATAGAACGATAGACAGCGAGTGTTGTGCAACATTTAAAAGTAGTAATTTCAGTTATCATTTCGTCGTTATTATTTTGCCAATGTGCCAAACTAAATTAAGCTCAGTTATTGACTTCAGTTTTTTCTTTCCTTTTTGCATATTCTGATTTTTTTTCATTTTAAAAACTCATAAATAATTAATCGTATAATTGAGGGAGATGTCACAAATACGTTTTGCGGCATTGATGCGAATTCGTTTGGTGTTTACTGTTAATATCAAAATTTACTTTACATTATAGAAACAAGTCTTTCTATGTTTCTAAATAAAAACCGATCTATCTATGTATTAGAAAACAAATAGGTAATCGATTTGCAAATCCTTAGCGCATTAAGGATTTTGTTGACTAATGAACATGACTACAAATTAAGGCACTTGCTATGATATAATAGGAAGTTGTAGAAGCCATAATCGCTCATATTCTAAAGTGACGTGGCACATAGAAGAATTTTATGATAATAATTTATTATTATTACACACACACACACACACACACACACACACACATATATATATATATATATATATATATATATATATAGACAGACAGACACACATGAAGGCGTACTGAAAAGAGCTGTCAACTAGATCAACGTCCCAAAATCTGATCTAATGTTCCAACGTGAAGATTTTCATGAACACGTTCCTGTATACGCATACAATGGAACAATTCCTTGGCATATTATCATAAATTTATTATCTCGGATATTTCACTGGTCCAGTAGTTTTGCATTATATTTTTTCAGGTTTAAGCTGCAAGCATATCTTCTGCTACACAGCACCAACGAAAACGCAACCACACATTTTTTAATCCTCAAGATCCATGGACGCTACAGATAAAGCCATACTGCTAAACAATTTTAATTTATTAATAAAATAAAGGTGTATAATGGTTTTATGTAGTTGGTCCAAAAGTTTTTGCGTGCCTATAGTCAGCGACGAAATTATTCGTACACCCATCAATTTTGAATATTTTTTATCTATTTCCCAGAATCTAATACTCAAATGATGCCAGGTTTTTATATGTTAACAAGCACAAAAAAGGCGAATTGACAGGCGAATTATGAAAAATAGGAAAATACAAAATTATTCGTACAGTATGAAAAATAGAAAAAAAATGAACACTTTTCAAGATTGCATGGCCTTATAACTTTATAACTTGCTGCAATCGTTTTCTAAAGTTTTTTATGAGATTTGAACACGTCTTTTTCTGGGATTTTCTTCCATTATTCAATGGTTACACATTCTTGAAGGTTTTTTGATGACCGACGATTTATTTGAGCTATAACACCAAAACACAAGCGTATAAGATAAAATATAAAAAATTACAAAAATCAACAACGAAGATAAAGATAATATGATAATAGTAACGATGTTAATGGCGAAAAGAAATACTCGATAACTTTTACCTAAACTTAATAAAAAGACTCACCTTTGTTTTCATCACTCTTCAGGACTTCGTTAAAAGAGTTGGAACCAAATCTTTTAGTAAAGAGGCTGCGACCAAATCTTGGGAAACAAAAAGTAAAATATTGAAAGAATAAGCATTTCAAGATATATCTTTGCAGTTAGTATTTGGATAACAGACATAAATATCAATGAATAGAACAGATATGATTTTGAATACACAAAGGCATGTTTTATTTATTGATTAAAGGCAACTATTTAAATCTGTGATTAATCTTCAGTTCCATAGTAAGCATGGATTTATAATGTATTGAAATATTTATTGCATTATTCCGATGGTAAATATAATGAAGTGGATTTTAGAAACAAGAGTCATTAAAACATCAAAAGAAAATAACTGAGTCGATATGTAAGTGTATATAATATCCTAGGTGCATGGTAGTAATTCTAGATAAATATTATCTGGCTTCAGATTCGGCAATAACCGTTTTCATAATTTTTTACTTATTTCTTTCAAAAGCCCTTGCATCTATCACTATCAGTATTTTAGAATCAGATTTGTATAACTGTTTTAAGAGAAATTTAAAAAGGTTCATTGCTCCAAAACATCATTTTTTTTCGGCAACGCAGATTTTGATAAAATATAAGTATATTAATTTTAAGTCAATCCAGTTTGAATTGTATCAATGATAGTGTGTAGATAAAGGCTTTACATTAAAATAATACAAATACGATCCTTGCAAAAACGGTGATTCCAAAAACTATGCGACGCTATTCAACATTTATAATTGAGAAGAACATTTAGAAGAAATAGAAGAAATTACCTTGGTCGGCCAACAATGGCGTAATATTCATTTAGAGCTTTCATGTATTCGCGAAGTTCTTTGGGGTTTCTGAATTCAGCCGGGCGGCTAGGTGGGGAAAGCATGATTTCCTGGCTAGATATTTGGATGACAAGGACAACAGCAATGACAAAAACTATGACGAAAGCTTTCCGCATGTTGCTGGCAGTGATTATAAAGGATCTGAAAAACAGTCAAGAATTCGATAAACAATTTTATGAACACACACGCAGGCACACGCACAGGCAGACATATATACATACAAACATATATATATATATATATATAAGTGTGTATATTTACACTTAGATATATAACTAAACTTAGCTTAGTCATAAGATTACAATAGTAGGACATCCATTGACACGCACACATGTACATAGAAAAATAGCGAAAACAAAGCTTATTAAATAAGGGAATTAGGAAGGTGTGCATAAGTGCTATTGACCAAACACACTTAATATAAACAATATTCTGATGTTTGGTCATTGAAATATTGATTTTTGTAAGTGGTTTCGAACAGACATTTTCTAGCACCTACATTCGTATGAATTTAAAGTAAACAGTAATTTATTAATGCTATTTCAGATGATTTTTCAGATGAAATTTCGGAAATGAGTTCGTAACTAAGTGGAAGGAAAATATTTTAGCAAATAACACACATTAAGATAGAAATTTAAAGTGATTTTTATTACTTCGCAGACACGTGAAATTTCTTAAATATATTTAAATATTAAATATATTTAATAGAAATGAAGCAATTGGTAAAACAAATAATTAAACTAAAGGATAACTTAAAAAAGACGTGACTGTCCTAAAATCATTACAAACATCAAATTATTTATCAAATTATATAATAATTTAATACAAAAATAAATGTGGCAACTTTGATATTTACAGCACCAATAATATCAAAAACAATAATTACTTGTTTGAATTCTATTCTTTCTAATCAATACAAAAGCAGATGGGAAAATTAAAAAAAAAGACTCGTTGTGAGTTGGGAAAAACGAAAGCTAATTGAATAAATTTAAAAGAAAGCAACACTTATGTAAAACAATACAATTTTATTTACGTTTGTGGAATATTTGATCACTGAACACAATCTCGCTCATATTAAACCGTAAATCATTGTTCTAATTAGTATTCGGAGAAAAAATGGAGTTTGTTTTCTTTGTTGACGTAAATACGTTGTTATAAAGGTTAATGGAACTACTATTCAGGCAAAAATTTGAAACTGCAATACGATTTTATCCTCGGTTTGTCAATATTGGAAGTGAAATACACACATGAATATTTATATGTGTGCTTTTGGTGCATATTTTGGTAGCGGGTTGATGGGTTAAATACTTGAGTAATTCCCTCTGGTGTCAATAGATGGTCTAGGATTGGTTTCTAAGTAAGATTATTGGCACTTTCTTTTGTCATTCTTCTTCCATTTTGTGCTATTCTTAATAAACATCGATAAAGCATTTGTTTTACTAGAAGAAAACTCGAAGGTTTTGCTAATCGAAAAAGGCAATCAAAGAAAAGCAGTCAATATATTACAGAGAGAAAGAGAGAGAGAGAGAGAGGGGGGAGATTTATATAGTGAATGTATGGGAGAGAGAGAAGAGATGACTAGGAGAGTGGTGATAGTAAAATGATTGACAGAGAAGACGGATGTGAGAGAATGGAAGAGGAGTAATAAGCGGAGAGTGGAGGGATGAGTGAATGAGAGAAAGGATACGTTAAAAAGAGGAAGGATCAGAGTGATTCATTGGAGAGATAAGGGATGAGTGAAGGAGAAACAGAGAATGTGTGTGTGTGTGTGTGTGTGTGTGTGAGAGAGAGAGAGAGAGAGAGGGAAGAAGAATGCGATATGAGTGAACGACTAGAAGAATGATAAAAAGAGAAATAGGATGTGGCAGCGGGAAGATGAGAGAGAGAAAAAAGGATGAATTAGAGAGGAGTGATGAGGGAGATAAATATTTCGCTATGCTGCCTAAAGATATTTATGTTGCCTCACTTGAAAGTTTACGAGAGAGTCAGTTTTCTTTTTCAGCGAATAATTTTAAAATTCACCTTTAACATCAATGTGAATAAAAGAGAAAGATGAAACTAGAGAAAGATGAAACTAGAGAAAAAAAAGAAACTAGAATAGTTTATAGATAATTTGTTATATGACCAAATTTGCAATCTTTGTTTTGTTTTTAAATGCATACACTAATATCACTATCACCGTGGTAGCATCATCTTTCAAATACAGTATCCTCTTAGACTAAATGTAGTTCCGAAGAGGAGAAGATTCGAGACCACTCCCAATAACAGCCTGGCAAAATTCTTCAGTCACCTGATCTTTTTTGTTTTCTCTTTTCTATTCCACCATTAAAAGGCAAATATTTTTTCGAAACCGGACCGATCTTTCTTCCTTCTTACATTCTTTCATTACTTGAATCATGGCAAAAATTTCCAAAGAAATAAAAATGAAAATAGTGAACATACCTAAGTATATGAACCAGCGACAGATCGCTTAGGAACTTGGAATGCCAAGCAGCATCATTTCAGAAATCTTCTCGAAATCTCAAAGAACAAAAAGTGTTTTGAATCGACCAAACTAAGCCCCCCCCCATTAGAAACCCTCAGCCTAAGATAGTAGTGAAACTGATTCTGACAACAAAAAGCTCAATGAAAGAAGACATATTGACAAGTGATTGGTGAGTACAACTTATACAATTTAGTGTCAGTTGATAGTGATGATTTAGGGCTTTATAAAAGGGATGAATCAAGAAAATTGATTAAAATTGATGATAGCTTGACTAGTGCTGAGTAAATCTTATTGGTGAAGGAACATTTGATACCAGATTTTTTAGCTCCATATCACAAATTGCATGCAATACATCAGTGATTGATTAATTACATTATATTTCACTGTATTGAAAAATTAGCCAAAAATAGCGAGCCCTGTCTTAAATAGATCAGATGTTGACAGAACTAATGAGTAGAAGAATGGTGTCTAGTACATCTGATGATGGTGAAAGAGTTTTACGTATCTTATACCAGGTGTGTTGAAACAATTATTCAAGCTACATGAAACCACACGAGTTGTAACAAGGTATATTAAGTTCTTAAAAAGAACGTTATATAATACATTTTCATTACAGACATTTCCTGTTTTTGTTTGGCCAAAACCTTTTGCATGATCATTTTTGGAGGTCGTTTCGCAATTTTCAAGTTCCTTCCGAACCTTCATTAAGTATAATAATTAGGTGTGAAATTATTCCAGTCTGGCCAAAGTATAATCTTTAGACAATACAATAAAAATCTATTGATAAAATGTCAATTATTAGAAATTTACAATAGTTTAAAATGGCCTAAGATTTTTGCACGGTACCGTATATTTCACAACTATCCTTAGATATTTCGGATATATTACTTAACAGCCGGTTTTATGAAATCCGCAAAAAAAATTTCTTTCAAGTAGCTTAATGAAAAATATGGCGATTATTGACTCTCCAAACTCTCCTAAGAGACGGCACACAAAATTGAGATTATTTTTCTGTGTGAAGATGGAATATCGCATTTAAAAATACGTAAAATAAACATAAGAATCTCTGTGTAATTATATTTCATGCATTTAATTATTCCTTATATGAAATGTGAATCTAAAAATTTAATGTAATGAAAAGTGATTAGCCACAGTTTTTGACGATGAAAATAAAATACATTTGCAGAAAGAAATCTCGTATATTGAATATAGCTGGGTAAATGTTTTAGTTAACACAAAAATTATAAAAGTTCTTCCCTTACCAATTGTCTTTGGGAGCAGATTCGTCTTCGAACAGAAGTACCTCGGAGTGGATATACGGACAAATAACCGACGGTATATATGCTTTGGCAGCGGGCCGCACCTGTCAATAGCAGATGTTCAATTTGATGTCTTTAGCTATTAGTCCAGCGTTTTTAGTTATGCAAATTCATTTCCTCGTTAATTCACACCGACGTTCGCTTTACAATTCCTTAACATTAACTATTCTGTGAAAAAGTTACGGAAATGAAGAGAATTCTTCGTCTGGCCCGTAGGTCCTGAAGAAAAATGTTAAAATAATATAATTGACATCCAGGAAATGTTGGGCCTCGCTGTAGGGACAGCGGCGCTCTTTTAAAGGAATTCAATGGTTTCTTGACATAGCGGCTTGATTTTATTCTTTGTGGTCAAGTCATTCCAGTCAGTATGGACAGCGGGTAAGAAGATAAAGCGTAGTGCGATCCCAATTTGGGAAACAAACATTGAATAGAAAGTCTTATATTGTAGGCTAACGAGAAAGACGAAAGGAATATACAATAGAGCAGATAAGAGAGATATCCAGAGAAAGTTGCAAAAATTAAGATAAGCTGTGAGATATAGAGAAATAAAAACAGAAAAGAGGGGGAGTGACGGGCGGACAAAAACTTTAAAAGGGAAAAGAGATAAAAAAAGACAAATAGAAAGAATGACGAGAATATAAGACATACACAAAAAGAGTGGAACATTAAAAAGGTTTTGGATTAGAAAAAAACGAAAAAAAATAGATGCAGCATAAGAGAAAAAATATTGCAAACAGAAGATTTGTAAAGAGAAAATATGTGGGAGAACAAAAGGGATTTCGAAAAGTTAACAAATTTGTTGAAGAAAGAGTGTGTGCTGGTGGCAAGTGAGAGGGGTGAGCAATAAGGGTAGAAGTAAATTATAATCGGAACAAACGGAAAATTGTATCAGAGAATAAAAGAGAGAGAGAGAGAGAGATAAAAGAGAGGAAGCAAAAGGAATTGATAATAATTATAATTTGCACAATATCTTACAAATGAATAATCATCAGGAATACTCCCAGAAAAAAAGTTTGAAAATCCACGCTGAATCAGTTCCAGCTCTTCTGATGGTTAATTCTAGCTGTTAAGTGGAAGTCTCGACCATGACAAAGAAACTGGAAATTTTTGGCGCCAAAAATACCGGAAGTTTAACATAAGAACGAAAATTAATTTTTCGAGTGATTACTCAATCATAATCCAGTGGAGAAGTTGTCAATCAAAATTAAAGCAAAAGAAAATAACAATCTTAATAATATGTGAAAATAATAATAATAATAATAATACATACATACATACATGTATACCGACCTCCCTATATAAGCTACTAAACCAGTTATAGTCATAAAACTTCAACTTCAAAGAACCTTTTGTTAAAGAGGTATGAAAAGTCAGCACGTTGATTATATCATTACTTTTTCTTCTAGTTACATGGTCTATCCATTATAATTGTTGCTGTGTATGGTAGCTTTCAAGTGATGTATTTTTGTTGTTTGGTAAAGGTCTTTGTTTGTGATTCTGTAGCACTAGTCTATAAGATCTGATGAAGGGTTGTTATCTTTAAGACCTACGTAGCTCATTTTCTTGAAGCCAATTTTGATCATTGATCTAAAAAACAATAAAGCACATTTCTGTACGAGTTGGATGTCATGCATGATATCCATATGATATTCTAGATTTGATGTTGCTATTTAAGGACATGACTCGAATTCTTAAGTCAATGTCAGGTCTCAATTTTAGTTAATAATAACTAAATAATAATAATAAGTTTGGATAGATGTGCTAAAGCCACAATTTTACGAGGATCGCTACAACAAACTTCCTTTATTAGCTCAATGATATAGAGCAAGGAGAAGGTTATAAGTGCCTCGGTGTAAATGACAGTGAATGAATTCACCATAAAAATGAAAGAAATAGGGAGAAAAGAAGCGTGCAACTGTTATTAAGACCTGAATTAAATTCTCAGAATTATGACCATTAATAGCCTTGCCTTTCCAATGGTTCAATATAGTTTCAATATCTTAAACTGGACTCTAAATGATATGAAACGCCTGGGTTCTAAGACAAGAAATCTTCTTTCTAAGCATAACATGTATTACCCAAAGGCTGACTAGACCGTCTATACATATCCTGTAAAGGTGGAGGAGATCTCAACTATTGGCTTAGTAACATACATGGAAACAAAAAAGGACTGGATGATACAATTAGTCAGGCAACATGAAAACAAAAAATATTTAATTATGAAAGAACGTTGTAAATATAATCTAGTAAATTTTGTAGAAAACCAAAACAGAACCAAAGAACCAACTGTTGTAGCAAAAAATATGAAAAAGAAAGCCAAGAATAAAGCTCTTGAACAAATGAAACTATGCTGGCAAGACAAACCCCTGCATGGCCAATATCCAGAACGTGCTAATAAGCCGGTGTTGATAAAGTTAACACTCATCGATGGTTAAGAGGAATCTGGATTAAAGGCTGAAACAGAAGGCTTTAATATTGCAGCGCAAGTCTGGAGTCTTTTCACTTGAAACTTTCAGGCAAATATCATACACAAGAGTGTGGATACAAAATGCAGGACTGCGACAAATATCAGGAAACCGTAGACAATTTAATCTCAGGATGTTCTGTACTTGCACCAAATGAATATAAAAATCTTCACGATTGTGTTGGGTAATACTTACACTGGACAATATATGGTAAGTACAATAATTTGAAGCTCGGTAAGAATATTGAGAAAGGCGCTGAAGATTTGAGGAGACTTGCTGTCACTCAATCTCCACTAGACATGTGAGTATAGTGATAATTGGGACTACAATAACTGTGATGGTATGATAATAAAATAAACAAAATGAAACATTAATATTATTATTAATAATAATAATAATAACCAAAATTATGATGATGTAAGAGGAAAACCTTCATATCCTGTTTGGAAAATACATAATTATATTTCTTTTCCAAACCGGATATGGTACACCTCCATAACTAGTGATAACCAGAGATTGGCAGTTAATCTCTCATCCGATCTTAGCTTTAACATCTCAGTGCAGGAAAATTACCTGGTTACATTCAATGTCTTGAAAACGAAACTCATCAAAGCCGCATCCCGCGAACTAACACCAGTCACGATGAATGTATATCTCTTCGGGAGGCTCCGTGCCTTGTGCGTCTATTGGGTCTTAAACTCACCACAGACTCGTACATACGATCCATCGCTAAGAATTCCGGGAAAATGGTCGGTTCCCTATACCGTTCTAGTAAGTACCTGACTCCTCGTGCTATCCTCTGTCTTTACAAGAGCCAGATCAGGCCTAAAATGGAGAACTGCTACCATATTTGGGCAGGAGCTGCCCATTCCTCACTTTCCAGATAAGAGGCCAAAAGCGTCTCCGCTTCCTTGTGTATTACAAATTTTTCTCTCTCTCTCTCTCTCCTCTCTCTCTCTCTCTCTCTCTCTCTCTCTCTCTCAGAGACGGTATATGGCAAGCCTCTAACTGCTCTGTCGCTACTTCCATGGAAAGTGGCTGGGACGAACTGCATTTCCTGGTTCTGCCAGTTTTAAACTCCAAGGCTGGGACCCGTTATGTCATTCACATTATAGAAAATCACCTGAATACCCTTTGTATTCCTTTCATTCGAACAGCTTCTCCCCGCGAACCGACTGCTCTGTGGAACCGACTCCCAAAAGGATATTTCCTAAATCACTACAACCGTTATCTTCCCTACCTATACGCATAAAATTTGCTTCTTACTCTGTAACACTCTACCTCGAGTTGCCTCCCGGGTCTTGTACATGGTGAATCACAATGTAACAAAATGTCTTATTCGAATAATTATGGTTCGAACTTTTCGACTGTTTTGCCTACCTTCCTGACTTTTTATAAAAGTCTATGTCATCGTCGTCGTACTCAGTGACTTTTTCAAATTTAGAAATGAACCATTTATTTAAATTTAATCTACTAGAGCAGATTGTTCACATACTTAGAGGATTTCATATAAAATATCCCTTAAGCGTTGGATAGCTAAGTGAAAATAGTGTATTGCATTCAATATAATATTCGCTTGAAAATTCGCGGCGTTTATCAAATATGAAAACAAAGTATTCCAAATGGAAAACGATATAATAGTTGCGATTCGTCCTCTCAAAAATTCTTATTTTTAATTTTTTTCACCCCAAGCAAGACAATAAAGCCACTAGGGCGAAAGGGATTACTGAGTGAGAGAATATGAGAAAAATACAATTAAGGAGAGAGAACAATAAAAGGATCGGAATTAAGAAGACAGAAGATAACGATCAACATTGCATTTAAATTTTTGAAGATCAAAGGTGACTGGGAAGCAAGAAGTCGGAAGACATTTCCACGAGCATGAAGTGCGATAGAGGAAACTGTTAGCATAGAACTTATAGATACATGTAGCCATTTCAACTGTAAATCTTTTCCGCCAATCTAGTACTGTGCTTAAATTCATGAAGTCTAGGTCCATAGAGGAAAGTTTAGCAGAACAATTACCATAAAAGTATTTATAGAAAAGTCAAAGGGAAGCAACTTTACGGTAGAGAGAAAGTGGATGAAGCCGAGATGTCAAGTCAGGACCAATACCATTGTAGATTCTTCTTTGGATTTCATCAAGAATCTCTAAATATATAGCAGGAGCACCAAACCATATGTGACAGCAATATTCAAAGCATAGATGAATGATAGACTTATAAATATATAAGATAGATTCTGGAGAGAAAATTGTCTAGCACGACACAGTGAACCAAGTTTCAATTAATAAGCATGGATGGTTCTGAGAGATGTCAAAATTAATCTACAGCTACAATAATTGCGATTTAAGACTAAATGAATAAATAAAAACAAATTTCATTGTTATTTCTTGTAATATACCTTTATTTGAATATACAGCATTACATCTCTCATTTGCTTCATCTATTGATAAAAATGATGATTATGGCTTAATAAAACGAATTGCTTACCTTTGAAAATACAGAAAACAAAGCTATTTATATTACTTTTTCACCTTACCTTAGCTTTCAGATACAGACGAACACTTTGCCTTGTTCTATCACAGTTGTAATCGAGTTATTCAAGATATTGTCTAATTTTTTAACGCTGGAATGAAACTAAAATTAGCATTTTCATTTCGTTAAAGAGTTTGCGCTCATCTCCTACATAGTGATCCATATTATTGGCTGCTTGCACATCTCTAGTAACTGTCCGTTACATTTTCCTGTGAGATCCTTTAAAACAATTAGTATAAATTTTTCGCATATTTTATTTTTCATATTTTATGTTTCTAAATCTTGCTTCAAGTCTTTTTCTGTATTAATGTGTGATATACAAAAGCCAAACATTTTTTATATTGTTATGTTGTTATTTTCATACCTACGTGCATGAACGCACACACATTGAAGAAGATTCTCACTTGAACAATAAGATGCACTGAATTGGATGCAAAACTTATATATTCATCTACAAGGTTACATGAATATCTAGTTTATCAACAGATAAAGTTGAAAAATCTCATTTCATACAGACATAAATGTACATATGAAATATGTTATGGAATGTCATTTCATTCCGTGTTACCTCATGTGAGATAAAAAATAGTGTTTCGTGTACGTATCTCAAATTTTAAAAAGTGTGTTAATTTGCTCAGTATATT